TCTCTCTCACGTTGATGTTTCTTTGTCTCTTTCTCCCTCTATACTCCACTCCTGCCTCCCTTCCACTCTCTGAAAATCAATGGAAAAAATATCCTTGGGTGAGGATTAACAAACAAACAAAAATAAAACCCAAAACACAAACACAAATACTACTAAAAGAACTCTTGTACACTGTTGCTGGAAATGTAAAGTGATTCAGCTACCACAGAAAACAGTGTGACAGTTCCTAAAAATATTAAGCAGAATTACCATAGGATCTAGCTACTCCATTTCTGGGTATATATCCAATAAAATTGATAACAGGGTCTTAAAGAGCTATTTTTACAGTACTGTTCATAGCAGCATTATTCACAACAGCCGTGAGGTAGAAGTTACTTAAGGGTCCATTAGAGGATGAACAGAGAAGAAAAATATGATATACATACAATGGACTTAACAAGAAAGGTAATTCTGATACATTCTAGTGTCATGGATGAACCTTGAGGGCAGTATGTTAAGTGAAATCAACCAGTCACAAAACAACAAATACTTATATGACCTATCTAGAGTAGTCAAATTCAAAAAAACAAAAAACAGCATAATGATGGTTGCCAGGGATGGCAGAGGGAGAGAATGAGGAATTATTATTTAATGGATATAGAGGCTCAGTTTTGCAAGATGAAAAATTTCTGGAGAGTAGTTGCACAACGATGTGAAAATATCTAATACTACCAGATTGTACTTTTGCATGAATAAGATAGTAAATTTTTTATCATTTAAAAAATGTTCATCTTTTTATGTGCAAAAAAGAAAACAACCCGCCAAAACCAGTTTGGCTTGGTGGATGGAGCGTCGGCCTGCGGACTGAGAGGTCCTAGTTTCGATCAAGGACATGTACCTTGGTTGCGGGCACATTCCCAGTGGGAGGGGTGCAGGTGGCAGTTGATCAGTGTTTCTCTCTCATCGATGTTTCTAACTCTCTATCTCTCTCCCTTACTCTTTGTAAAAAGTCAATAAAATATATTAAAATAAATAAATATTAGGAAACAAAAAATCTGCTAAAATAGTCTACTTCTAAGAAGAGTTTCAGAAATAGAAAGGGTTTGGCAAAAGTAGGTTTATAGTTGTTCATATGGAAAAATATATAACCCTATCCTAAACAATAAAAGCTTAATATGCAAAGTTCAACCAATCAAAGTGTAATATGCTAAGGATATGCTAAGGCAGCTCAACCACTTGCTATGACGTGTACTGACCACCAGGGAGCAGATAGTTGACTGGTAGACCAGTTGCTATGCCATGCATTGACCACGTGCTCCAACCAGTAGGTTAGCTTACTGCTGGGGTCCAGCAATCAGGACTGAGTGAGACAGGTTGGACTCGCTCGAGCCCTCCCGTGGTCCCTCCTCGGCTGGCCAACCTCCCACATTACTCCCCAGCTCCGATCGTGAACTGGAGGGGGGTGTCCCTCAGCCTGGCCTGTGCCTTCTTGCAATCCAAAACCCCTCGGAGGGTGTTGGAGAGCTGGTTTCGGCCTAATCCCACAGGCCAGGCCAAGGGACCCCACTGGTACACAAATTCATGCACTAGGCCTCCAGTTCAAAATAGACTCTGTTGTTATATGCTATTTTAGAACCCTATACCCTCCATTACAGTGATTATGACCAAACAAATACTGAGTCGAGAGTGTTTATCAACAATCTCCCTTGCTGGCTGTTAAGTTCTATGAGGGGAGACAGGGTCCATGTCTTTTTATTGTTGATACATTCAGCCTGGCAAAGGGGAACAAAATTAATTAATAGGATTATACCAAATTTGGTTTCTAGGATAAAAACAGCTAAAATTCTGAAGCTCCATAGAACTAATCATCATTCCCTCTCCTTGCCTTTTCCAATTAGTAAGTTTTCCGGAACACTACCTTCAAAGAAAAAGAATCCTGTCCTATAGATAGGACGCAAAATGCTCTGTCTGTCACCTGTTTATCATTCATTCATTTTACTGGAACATGTAGTAAGTCCTGGCATGAGGCTATACACAAATACAGACAAACACCCAAATATCTGCACTTAAAGCATTTCAACTGGAGGAGAAGCTAGGAAATGCTATTTTATTTTCCTGTATAAACCAAACAAACAAACCTATGCTTTAGCACAGGTTCTAGAATAAGGCTGGGTTCAAATCCTCACTCCACTACTTACTAACTGTATAAGCTGGTCACCTAACCTCTTTGTGTCTCAGTTTCCTCATCAGTAAGAAGGGTTTAATAATGATTCCTAAAAACAAAGAACCGCCGAAACCTGTTTGGCTCAGTGGATAGAGCGGCAGCTTGCAGACTGAAGGGTCCCAGGTTCAATTCCGGTCAGGGGCATGTACTTTGGTTGCGGGTACATCCCCGGTATGGGGTGTGCAGGAGGCAGCTGATTGATGATTCTCTCTCATCAATGTTTCTAGCTCTCTATCCCTCTCCCTCTCTGTAAAAAATCAATAAAAAATATTTTGAAAAGAACCCAAACAACCAACAATGATACCTATTTTGAGGGATTGTGAGACTTAAGTTAAAACAGATAAAAGTACTTAGCAAAGTGTAAAGTACATAGAAAGGCACAACTTCTGCTAGCCAAAATAATATATGCTCCACAGCAAGGCTTAGACTTCTACTCCTTTCTGCAGTACAGCACACACAGGTAAACATAGGCTAGCCATGCAGGTCAACACTTCCACCTCCTGGTGCATCGACAAAGCGATAACTTCATATCATAAATAGGAGTTCTGTAATAATGAGGCCATTACTCTCCTATTTAATAAGCCTGCATAGGCAACATATATTTTCAAAAGTAATACAAGTTAATATTTTCAAAAGTGTATGCTGTGTTGTTGTAGACACTAAATGTCATGCCAATTACATCTCTTCTCCACAAAAACAAGTATCGTTCTTTCCTCACTTTATTGATTTTAACTAAACTTTTGCAATTTCCCCCCCATATTGTATGGAAACATATTAGAAATAACAAATGCAACAGAGGTCTAAAAACTGCCACAAGGCATTTGTCCCTCTTCCGGGCAAAATGGTGTCTTCAATTGAAATAAGACTTCAATGAGATGTCTTTGTGATCTTTAGTTGCAATCAATGAAGTATTTCTTAAAAACTTTATTGGGCAACTACTTACTGCATAGCAGGCACTGTTCTAAAGAAGCACTGGAGATAAAGAGATGTAAGAAATATGCTCTCAGCCCTCAAGAAACTTGGTTTAGCAGAAGAAACCTTCTATACAATCATTGCCCTACTGTGCCACACATAAACCCTGGCACTGGGTCCAAAGGAAGGTCAGCTGTCTCTACTGGGTTAGATCAGGGGAGAGTACAGAAAGGACCAAGTCCTAAAGGATGAGCAAGAATGGTCCAGACAAATAATGAATGAAATGTCAGTGCCCACAGAAGGAACTGCACGCTGGGGAAAACACAGGGAGCCATGAAACCTCAAGCTATTTTGGGGTCCTGTTCTGTGTAACCGAACCCAAAATTTGGGTACAAGAGGGGCAAATGAAGTTGGAGAGATAAATAGGAGCTGACTTATAGATCTAACAAGAGTAGCTTGTACCAAGGATAATGATGGAAACAATTTACACTTTAGAAAGATTAGTGGAATCTACAACTCCCATGAGAGGGCTGTCCTTAGCTGGGGGTCCCAAATCGCAAAGCCCCGGATTCACCGACGACTGGTCCCCTTCTCCTCGCCTTGGTCAGCTACCCCGCCCGCCGTGCGCCCCTCCGCCTCACGGGGCGCCCCGGGGGTCTGACTTCGGCAGGACCTCCTGGCAGGAGCCTGGGCGCTCGCTGTCACCAGGCGGCCTCCTCTAACGTGATGTAAGCATCATTCCGGAGGCTGACAGACCGAGGCTTCAGCGCTGGGCTCTGCCCCTGCCCGTGTGACCACTAGGCTTGCCTGCCTCAGTTTCCGCACGTTCAGCGGCAGACGCCGTGGGAGAGCCGGCGAGGGGCGGACCCCGGCGCCGAGTGACGGGGTCGCGCGCGGCGGGCTCCGCCCCGACTGGAGCCGGCGGGAGAGCCGGGTAAGCCAGGCCGTGGGTGGGAGAGCGGGGCGGCTCACCGATAAAAGGCAGAGTCCCCGAGCGGGTTCCAGTTCGCCGTGTAGCAGTCCATGGCTGGTGCAGGGGGCTCCTGGGCAGCACTGAAGGGGACACCCGCCTAGCAAGGGCTCCAGGCCGCCACTTCCGCTTCCGCCCTCCTGGATCACGTGGCGAGGCCGCCGCCGCCGCCGCCTTGGGCGTTCTGAGCAGCAGCATTCGGCTGCCGCCGCTCCCCCGCCCACACCCGGGCCTAGCGCCCGCCTCGGTGGGCCTGGCTCCGGTTCCTGCCCCGGCACGGCAGCCAGCCCCGCCTCCTTCCTGTCCCCTCGGGCATTGAGGGTGCACAGGGCGGGACATGGGGGACCGGAAGTGGGAGCGATGAGCGTCGCCGCCCCGGGCGCCGAGGCTCGAGGCGCCGTCGAGGCCGCCGCGACGCACGCATGGAGAACGCTGGGCGCCGGGCTTCGCACCGACGGCTAATCGGGTCGCACGGGCTCTGCGGGGCGGGGACTGTGCAGCACCCCGACGGGAACATGAGGCCAGCCCTGGAGCTCAGTGCAGGCGAGGCGCGCGGGGCGCGGGCCTGCCCTGTTCGCGGGTGAACTGCTTGGCGCTCCGGGAATCGGTAATTGACGCGGGCGGGTGCGCGCGCATGCGCGAGGCCGTGGCGGCACGTGGCGGGGCGCCGGGCGGCGCCGGGCGGGAAGCGTCCCTGTGCCCCGGAGGCCTAGGCGCCTGGCGACCCCCTGCCTCTGGCGCCAGCGGTGACCGAGGCCCGTGCCACTATGGGCCCCACCCTGCCGCCGCCACCGCCTGGTCCCTGGAGCCCTGAGCTGCCGGGGAGGGGCCGGCGCTGCTCTCCTTTATCCTGAGTTCCCGCTCTCGCGGGACTAAGTGGCCTCTTCCTGCAGCCGGGACCTCCACAGCGGCGGCATGGTCTTCTGTCTGGAGAACAAGGAGCCGCGCTGCTCCCGGCGAGGCGCCATGGTCCACCTCCAGGCCTCGGAAGTCCAACAGCTGCTACACAACAAGTTCGTGGTCATCTTGGGGGACTCAAGTGAGTGCTCCCCTAGGATCACATTGCTCAGTCCCGCACCTGCAGCCAGTGTTCTAAGTCGGAGACTTTGCCTCCATCTCTAACCTCCTCTCTGACCCCTAGTCTATTCCAGTCCAGTAGGTTTTCTCATTTCATTTCCCTGTGCACCTTCACAGGTGTCCTGACAGATGTAGCCTTGTCAAGCTTTTCACGCCATCTTGCTTAGCGGTTTTTCTCTCCCTGACCTCTCCCATAATTTCCCTTAGGGGAGCAGGTGACTCAGCTGACTTCTGCTAGCTCTCAGGTCACTGTATACTACGTTTGGGGGTGGTGCACAACTAGAAGGATCAGTGGCAGTGCCAGGACTTTCGAACCTCACCCTTTCTCCTGCCTCACAGTCAACACTCCACAGAAGTGGTGTTGGGCAACCCCAGCCTTAGGAAAATGAGGAGCCTGGACGTGGGAGACACGGGGATGGGGTGAGGCTTGCCTTAGCCCCATGATCTGTCTCCCTGCAGTCCAGCGAGCTGTGTACAAGGACCTGGTGCTCCTGCTCCAGAAAGACTCACTGCTCACAGCCGCTCAGCTGAAAGCCAAGGTGAGGGAAACTTGGTAGTAATGCCAATGGTGGGGTGGACACAGACCCTGGCCTGGCAGGGTCTTCCTCCTTGGCACGGGTCTGACCAGCTGGGTATGGGGGTGGGCAGGGGGAACTGAGCTTTGAACAGGACCAGCTGGTGGCTGGGGGTCAGCTGGGCGAGCTGCACAACGGGACACAGTACCGAGAGGTCCGCCAGTTCTGCTCGGGTTCTGGCCACCACCTTGTGCGCTTCTACTTCCTCACCCGCGTCTACTCCGAGTACCTGGAGGACGTCCTGGAGGAGCTGACGTATGGGCCTGCTCCGGACCTGGTGATCATCAACTCCTGCCTCTGGGATCTGTCCAGGTTGAGGGAACTATTGGTTGAGGGTGGAGGTATGGCTCAGCGGCCATCTACCTCTGTGCTGTTTGTTGCCCACCCACTGTGCTGCCCAACAGGTATGGCCGCTTCTCAATGGAGACTTATCGAGAGAACCTGGAGCGGGTGTTCATGCGCATGGACCAGGTGCTGCCAGACTCCTGCCTGCTGGTGTGGAATATGGCAATGCCCCTGGGAGAGCGTGTCACTGGGGGCTTCCTTCTGCCTGAGGCAAGTGACCCAGCCCCAGGATGGAAGGAGGGGACAGTTGATCAGTAGATAGAGGACCGTCCATCCCCAGCCTGCTTCATTCTGTGGCCCTTAGCTGCTGTCCTTTCTCTCAGCTCCAACCCCTGGCGGCGTCTCTGCGGAGGGATGTGGTTGAAGGGAACTTCTACAGTGCTACGCTGGCCGGGGACCACTTCTTCGACGTCCTGGACCTCCACTTTCATTTCCGGCATGCAGTGCGGCACCGGCACCGGGACGGTGTCCACTGGGACCAGCATGCCCACCGACATCTCTCACACTTGCTTCTGGCCCACGTGGCTGACGCCTGGGGTGTGGAGCTGCCCAAGCGTGACTACTCCCCTGGTGAGCCCTGTCATGAGTGGGGAGGGTGGTGATGCAGAGCGGGCCCTCATAGCACAGGGCGCACAGACAGAACAGGACAGAGCTACTCTAGGGGAATAGAGGCCCCTTAAGGATTGCTTCTCTCTCACCCCCTGAGGAGGGTGAGATCACAGGATCAACAGGGCAGTCCAAGGGGGTCTTCTGGTTTAGCCATAGAGTGACTTTTGGCTTCTACGAGTATTGAGTACATGAGAGCATGTCAAGAGATCTCTACCCTACAGGTGAACTAGAAGGAAATGGGAGTTCTCTGAGCGAGGCATGGAAGTGAGGAGTAGAAAGATACAAAGGGAGGAAGGCCAGTCCAGGCAGTGTGGCGGAAGTCCCTTGGCTGGTGCTGTCAGCCTCTCAGTTCCTGCCTGCTCCAAAGGGGCATCGTGGCTGAGTGTTTTCTACATCTGCTTCTCCTCTGGATCATGTCCTCAAGGAAAAGTTTCCTGCCTCCCTTGTTAACAGCTCATGAACCCTTTTGCTTCCGTGTTTAGCACAGTTGCTGTGTGCACAGGAGATACAGGTTAGTGTTTGATGAAAGAGAGACACGAGTTGTGTTAGAAAGCTGTTCGCCAGCGCACGGGAGGGGATGGTGGCACAGACAGACCAGCAGTGTTACAGAAGCAGACTTCTGGGGCTTGGCAGCCAGGAGTTGGAGCATCAGGGAGGTAAATTAGGACTTTGATTATATAATGGTCCAGTTTCCTTGTTTTTTAGATGAGAAAACTGATCCCCAGCAAAGAAGGGATGCTCTAAAGGCCATGAGGCTAGATTGTGGTGGCTCAAGTCTCCTGAGCCAGTTTGTAGCTACAGAAATAGGGACATCAAAAGGCAGAGTTGGGGGGAGACTGAGTTGGTGAGTTTGGTCAGGGCGGTTCTGTCTGAGGTACTGTGGAAATGTGGAGTAGATGTGGAGTCAGTGGTGTCCACAGAGAGATGGGAGCTGAAGGGCATGAGTGTGAACCTCGAAGGAGAGAGCAGAACAACAGCCACATTTTGGAGGTGGAAGGAAAGAGAGCTAATGGAGGAAACAGAAGGCGATGACGGTAGAGGCATTTTCAGGGAGGATGAGGCTACTGACCATGTCATGTGATTGTCAGGAAGAAAGGAATTTGTTAAATTTGCCAGGAAGTAGCTACATTTAGTGGGAAAAGTGTTGCATAATTGGAGCAGGGTTAAAGAGGTAGTGAGCAGTTGCTGAGGGAATGGAGACTGGACACAGTACTCTGGGCATTTGAAAGGAACAGGGCACTACGGGGGAAGAGGATGACAGGATCTTTCTGTTTATAGGAGAGAAGATTTACTAACTTATTTACTGGTCTGTGATTAGTTGCTCGGAGAGGGAAACACTAAAGAGCCAAGAGCTGAGCAAACAAAGGTAGAAGGCTCTTTGGAGGGGAGCAGGAGGTCAGAACAAAGGTGGATCTGCTGACTTTTGAGAAAGGCAAGGGAGAAGGAACACGCCTTGGGCTTGGCCTGAAAAGAGAGGGAGTGCGGAAAACTGGGCAGATGGCAGAAGGCACTCCCGGCTGGAGGAGGGAGGAGAGGTTTAGGGGAGCGGAGGGCTAGTGTGCAGGGCAGCCTGGCCTCAGGCCTTCCTAAAACAACCATCCCATTCCTAGACCCATGGATTGAGGACTGGCCAGAGCCGGATCATCTGTTCCAGGGGAGCCAGGGGCAGCCCCCAGACTTTGGGGAGCAGCTGGCCTTGCCCCCACCTTCTCCCTTGCCCCTTCCCATGCCTTTTCTCTACCCCCTTCCTCAGTCCTCCCCACCTCCCTTGTTCCCACCCCTGCCCCAGGATGCCCCTTTTTCCCCATGCCAGCCCTTCCCACCCCATGAATTCTTCAATTATAATACAACGGAAGGCTGCTCAGTGCCACCCAATTTAGGTAGGTGCCTCTGCAGCCTCCATTCACAACCTTCCCAGCCTCTCCTCGCACCTTTCCCAGCCTGGCCTCCTGTGTCCAGGCTGGGAGACGAGAGCAGTTGGATAACCCTTGTACTCCAGCCTCTCCACCCCCTCCTCAGGATTGGGTTCAGTCATAGCTGAGTCTAGAACAGCATATGTAGACTCGTTGATCAGCTCACTGATTGTCAGTTGCCTGGTTTGGATTAAGTATGGGGAAACTGAAGCCCAAAGGAACTCACCCTGGAGGACCAGAGCAGCCTAAAGGCAGAGGAGGCTCACTGGCTAGAAGCCCACTCTGATAAATGACTGGTTCTTTTGTAGGATGTGGCCCTGGAGTGAATGTTGTGCCCGGTCCGCTGCCACCTCCAGTTTCTGGCCCTGTCCACCATGGTCAGCACCGGGGCCCAGTGGTCCACCGGGGAATGCCGCGCTGTGCTCCCAGCAGCCCCTACCATGTGCCGAGGATGGGGGGACCCTGCAGGCAGCGGCTCAGACACTCAGACAGACTGATCCACACGTACAAACTGGACCGGCGGCCTCCTGCACATTCAGGGACGTGGCCTGGGTAGACTGGACCTTGGGCCGGGGCTGGATGTGCCAATGGCCCTGCAGGGCCTGCCTGTCACCCAGGTGCTGGGCCATGATGTTGGCTGTGCCTGGCATCATTCTTGTCCACTGCTGTCACCAATAAAGGCATGGAAGAACAGAGTGGCATCTTCCTGTGTCTCCCAAACCATGACCTTAGGAGCTGGGAGGCTGCCTCTGGGCTGTTTCCAGCTTTGGACCTTTTACCTCACGTTGTTTGGGAATCATTGAATGTGGCTTTCCTGTTGCCTCACACCCTCATTCTCACCAGAACACATGTGCACTAACAAAGATCGTGGGCAGATTACCTCTTGTCAGCAGCTCTCTGGAATTGGAATAGCAAGGGCTGAGTTGAAATTGTCAACATTTTACTTTTATTTATTTAATAAATGTAGGTTGGTGAATTGATTTTAGGGAGAGGAAGAGGTAAGTATTGATTTATTGTCCCATTTATTTGTGCATTCCTTGGTTGATTTAAAAAAAAAAGATTTATTGATTTTTTAGAGAGGAAGAGAGAGAAACATCGTTGTGGGAGTACAACATTGAATCAAACCAGCAACTAGCAACTTCTTGGTGCACAGGACTGTGCCCACATTGGTTGATCCTTGTAAGCGCCCTGACAAGGGATCAGACCCCCACCCTTGATGTATTGGGGCAATGCTCTAACCAACTGAGCTATTTGGCCAGAGCGAATTTGTCAACATTTTATGTGGATTTTATGAATCTGGCTAATTCTTACCTATACTAGTCTCATGTATTCATGTGTACATTCAACATTCATCTGTTCCTGGAGATAGAAAGACACATACCTTCCTTTGCAGTTCTTGGCATATAGTGGACACTCAGTGATTGGAACTAATAAAAAAGCTCCCAAACCAAAGTAGAGACTGATTAGAAATCCATTATTTAACACATATAATGTGCACTGAGGGCAATGTGAACAAAGACCAACTTATTTGGCGTGGGCGGGGGGGGGAATGTTCAAACTCTCTAAGGAAGAGAATACAGGGTCTCAGCTTTGACGAGGGACTTGACCTTAAGTTTGTGACTAATCATCAAGGGTGATGTGGGCTAGATGGTGGCATGGGGTGGAGAATGGAGTGTGGAGTAGGAAAATAAGGCAACAGACCCACAAATAATCTTCAAGTAGAATTGGATGGAAGAGGAATGCAGAGATGTGCCAATGGCCCTGCAGGGCCTGCCTGCCAGCCAGGTGCTGGGCCATGCATTCTTTCCATCCTTTTTATTGGAATTTTATCTTGGTAAAGGATATAACATGTAACAAATGGAAATGGAAATAGACCACAAAAGTGTTGATCCTTGCCAGCAATCTAAGTGCGAGTGAAGCTGCTAAGTTAGCACACACTGGTGTTGGGGAAACTGGTACATTAATAGAGCCCTTTAGAGAGCAACCTCAACAGAGCAGCTGAGAACCAAATGAGACAGAGCCTGAAACAAGGTTGGTTTTCTTGGGTATAGCCCCAAAGTGGAAGGGAACATACGGAAATGAAAGCAAGCCTTTTGTTCAGGAGATAAAATTTAGGTAATTATTTTTTGCCCAAGAAAAAAAAATATATTTCCTCTGTTGATAAAACCCATCCTTTGAACAGCCCTCTTCAGCCGCATCCAATTTGTCCAATCCCACGTTCACTCCTTTCTGCCTTTCCTGAAAACCTATTCTCTGAACATTTTGCACCTGCTTCTGAAGCTTCTCGGTACCTCTGGAGAACACTACACCTGGACTGACTGACAGAAGAAAATGATGAGTTACTCGGCCTCATGGGACCCCTCTCTGTTAGTTGCCATCCTGTTCTCTAAGAATTCCATCGCCTTCCCTCCTAGGCCTTTCCTAGGCTTTTCCACTCCTTGCAAACCCCATCCCAATTCTGGAACTCTCACTTTGTAAGCACTGTGCAGAGGGCTCCATTATCTCATCATTTTACCCCTGCACTTCCGATTTCCACCCATCTTGCTGTGTGTCTCCTAACATTTTCTTCAGTGCCCCAACTCAGATTTGAGGTCATCATAACAGTGATGGTGATAAAATATCTTTAGTTGTCATGTAAGCCTACAAGTCAATTGACTTCTGCATTATAGATTTTATTCAGTCATGATTGAAAACAAGAAACTTAAACAGTCATGTACAAGTCATTACATGCATTTGAATTATTTCCTGGCCACTGTTTTCAGAGATAAAAACTATAAAAATCGTATGTTCCTCTAGAGAGTGTGTGTGTGTGTATGTGTGTATTGATTTCAGAGAGAGGAAGGGAGAAGGAGAGAAACATCAATAATGAGAGAGAATCATCAATTAGCTGCCTCCTGCATGCCCGCTACTGGGAATTGAGCCGGCAACCTGGGCATGTGCCCTGAATGGGAATCAAACCATGATTTCCTGGTTCATGGGTCAATGCTCAACCACTAAGCCGCACCAGCGGACTAGATTCTTGGTTTTATTTTTCCCCCTAGCTACATTATTTTTTTATTTCATCTACTTTAAGTTTTTCCATCACCATTTATCCCTTCTATGCCCTTTTCACCTCCCCCCCATCACCACACTGTAGTTTATGTCCATGTGTTTTCTCCTTTTTTTTATTTTTGCTCAATCTCTCACCCCCTAACACTCCCCCAAAACACACACACACACACACACACACACACACACACACACACCCCACAGAGATGTCTGTCTGCTTTTTATGAGTCTGTCTCTATTTTGCTATAGTTCAATTTGTTCATTAGAAACCACATATGAATTAAATCATATGGTACTTGTCTTTCTCTGCCTGGCTTATTTCACTTAGCGTAATGTTCTCTAAGTCCATCCATGCTGTTGCAAAGAGTAAAATTTTCTTCCTCTTAACAGCAGGGTAGTATGCCATTGTGCAAATGTACCATAACTCTTTTATCCACTCATCTACCGATGATAGTCGAGCTCCTTGCAAATGTTGGCTATTATAAATAACCCTGCAATGAACACAGAGGCTCAGATATTCTTTCGAATTTGAGTTTTGGGTTTCTTTGGATAAATTCCCAGAAAAGGAATCAGTGGGTCATAAGGCAGTTCCATTTGTAATTTTTTGAGGTGACTCTATACTGTTTTCCACTAGATTCTTATTTTTTGAAGAATGCCTCCAGTATCCTTCTTTTGCCATACCAACATATTCCTGAAAGGAGTAGAGGATGCAAGAGCACTTCAGACGTGATGCCTGCTTTTATTGTCCCAGAGTGTGCGTGTGCTGGGGGAGGAGGGAGAAGTCTTAATAAAAAAAAAATTAGTGGATTTTTTTTTTCAAAACAGTTTAACCAAACACAGTGTCCCAACAAAAACAGATGACCTGCCTTCTGTTATAGCAGTGATCAGCAAACTCATTAGTCAACGGAGTCAAATATCAACAGTACAATGATTGAAATTTCATTTGAGAGCCAAATGTTTTAAACTTTAATGCCACTTCTTCAAAATAGACTCGCCCAGGCCGTGGTATTTTGTGGAAGAGCCACACTCAAGGGGCCAAAGAGCTGCATTTGGCTCGCGAGCAGCAGTTTGCTGACCACTGTGTTATATAATCCAGTTCGTTGCATAGATTGTATGTTGAGGTCATCATATGTTGGTGAAAGATAAAGATAAACTTTCAGAGTGCAAAGAAATAGACCTATGCTTTTTTAAAACCTGCTTTATTAAGGTATCACTGACAGTAAACTGCACATATTTCAAATGGATGATTTGATATATTTTGACATGTATACATCTGTGAAACCATCATCACAATCAACGAAGTTTATCCTTCTGCCTTTTTATAATCCCTTCCTGCCTCCCCTCCCATCTCCCTACTCCTGTCGCCCAGCAACTATTGATACTGATCTGTTTTTTGTTACTATAGATCAATTCGCATTTCCTAGAATGTAATATAAATGGAATCATTCAGTGGGTACTCTTTTTCATCTGGCTTCTTTCACTCAGTCTAATTAGATTGGTGGAACAACATCCATGTCATTGTGTGTATTAGTTGTTCACTTTTCTCATAAGTTTATCGTATTCCATTGTATGGCTAAATCAACTATCCTTTCACCTGTTGGTGGACATTTGTATACTTTAATTTTTGGCTATTACAAATAAAGCTTCTATGAATATCTTTGAATAGGCATATGTTTTCATTTCTTTTGGGTAAATATCTAGGAATGAAAGAGATGAGTCATGTGGTAGATGTATGTTTAATTTTTTCAAAAACTACTAAATTATTTTCCAAAGTGGTTTTCCGATTTTACATTCCCCCTAACAATGTATGAGGGTTGCAGTTTCTCCATATCAAAACCACCACTTAATATTCGTTTTCTTAATATTAGTCATTCTAATAAGTGGGTATTTTTTAAGATTTTCTTTTTAAATTGATTTTTAGAGAGGAGTAGGGAGAGGGAAGAGAGAGAGAAACATTATGTAAGAGAGACACATTGATTTGTTGCCCGAAACCCTTCGGTGTGCAGGCCGACGCTCTAACCACTGAGTGATGTTGGGCACGGTGGAAACAACAGATCTTAAATCAAGTTCTTTTATTTTTATTTTAAAAAATATATTTTATTGATTTTTTTTATAGAGAGGAATAGAGAGGGATAGAGAGTTAGAAACATCGATGAGAGAGAATCATCGATCAGCTGCCTCTTGCACATCTCCCAATGTGCCTGCAACCAAGGTACATGGTTCATATTTTGACATGTATACATCTGTGAAACCATGTCCTTTGACTGGAATCGAACCTGGGTCCTTTCAGTCCCCAGGCTGACGCTCTTATCCACTGAGCCAAACCGGTTTCGGCAAGTTCTTTTATTTTTAAAATTGAAAGTATTTGAAAAGTAAGAAGGCAGTAGTATAAAGAATGCAAGATCCAAACTATAGATGGAAATGTCTCAGCAGAAAAAAATGACTTGTCCAAAGTTGGTTACTTCCAGACCCCAACAGACGTCACAAAAGACAACTTTTTACCCAGGA